ACGATTTTAACGAAAAAAAACTGTAGAATTGTTTGCGTTCTATGAAAAAGTAATCGACTGTTCGAAACAAAACGTTTTTGTGGTGGTAAAGATATGGAAACAATGAATTTCGGACAAACATTTTCGAAATGCTCTCGAAGCATTAAAAGTAGTAAATACAAATTACTTAACAAATTTTGGGAATGTTTTCAGACCTTACGTTTATATATTAGCACTTTTGCCCGTTTCAATAACTACACCTTTATGAAGTTTTTCATGCCTGAAAAGGACTAAACCTACTTCAGAAATACAACAACTCAAGAAAGGGTCAACGGGCTAGAAGCGATGAATATTCACAAAGATATTAATTTTTCAATTGACGAAGTTCTAAAAGAATTAAAAAAAAACCAAGGAAAATGTGAAAAATCTTAGTTTCATTGATTTACAAGTAAAAGGAAAAATTGAATGTGTTTAAAATTATTAGCATGTTTAATAAAGAAAGCGAAAAATTAAATGTATTTAAAAATTTCATGTTATAAACTTTATTGCGCATACTTTTTTCTAAAGAACCCTTTTTCTAAACCCATATTACTGAACTATGTTTTTCGATTAGAGTCAGTACCAGGCCCACTCATGGGTTTTAACGATGCCGTGCAATAAAGCCATAGGAAATAACGCCATATGGCTTTATTTCACTTTACATTTAACACCCCTGTGGATCCGCCACTGTTACCAGGTTAAACGAATTGTTTTAATATGAGTACCAAACGAGAAAGGCTCAAGAAAGCTTTCTCTCGAAAATATTTTTGAAGAGAGTTGCCACCCTTTTAGGAACAAAATCATTTTAATGAACAAGTTAAATTAAATATTAAAATATAGGTTTCAATCGGGAGAGGTTTTAGTAAGCTTTTCGGACTTTTAAACCCCATGCAAATATGGGAATAGTATAAAACCACTTTTTTTTAAGACATTGCTCACAGGTTTCAAGAAAAAGCACATTACGACGTATTATATTCCAACGAAGCTCTGAGACTAATTGAGGATACAAATTTCTCAATGGTGGCAAAACGGATGTGCGGTTTCGGCATGCCCACTCCGCAATCAACGGGAGAACTGACCAATGAGTTATTCAGAGAGATGAATTATAGCACCACGAACTTGACGGCTCAAGTCATCGAAACAGAACCTAAACTAAATATTACCCGAGCAGAGGCAAATTTTCTCTAAAATTGTGAGCCACGTTCAGGGCAGAGAAGGTGCTTTTATTTCTTTGACGCACCGGGGAAAATGGCAACATTTTTCTGCTGAATTTCCTACTGGCACAGTTGCGCAGGGATAAAAAACGTTGCACTAGCGGTTACCTTCTTAGGGATAGGAGCTACCTTGCTTAATGGAGGAAGAACTGCACATTCGGCATTTAAACTCCCTATGAACCTTGCGTCATACATCATTGCAATGAACGTAAGATATCACACAAGCATGCAGTCGAGGCACTCGATGGAAGCCTGCAAGATATCCGCGGCAGCTGTTTGCTGAAGGGAGGAGTAGCCGTATTGCTAGCAGGAGATTTTCGGCAGACGCTACCTGTAATCGAGCGAGGCACTGCGGCAGACGAGATAAGTGCGTGTATCAAGGCTTCGCCATTGTGGGCAAAGGCGTAAATATTGAAGCTCACAAGTAACATAAGAATACAGTTGTACAATGATTGAAAGTCCGGACTCTTTGCTCAAGACCTCATTGAGAACAGTGAGGGACGCAGGGCAATGAGTGCGGAAGGCCTTATTATATTCGAAAGTCGCTTTTGCAATGCTATGAGCTTGGAATATTATCTAATAGATAAGTAAAGTTTTTCCTAATTTAAAACAAAATTTGAGCTACGACGGATCGTTATGCGAACGAGCAATCTTGGCACCTAAACATGAATCAGTGGAAAATAAAAATAAGAGAATTATTGATAAAGATCCTGGTAAAGCGACTACAGTGATGGCAAATGATGATGCAACAAAATATCTTATAGAGTTTCTTAACTCTTTAGAATGGTCAGGGGTGCCGTCCCACTAACTGGAATTAAAGTTTGGTGTGCCAGTCATATTGATGTGTAACCTGGATGCATCTCGACTGTGCAAAGGACAATCAGTATTGAGACCACGTGTTCCCATGATTCAAACAAGCATGTCAATTCATTTTAAACGTTTGAAGTGTCCGTTAAAAGAAGCTTTCGGGATAACGATTAATAAAGGCCAAGGACAAACAGGAATACACCTGGGCAATCCATGTTTGTCGTACGGACAAATCTACGCTGGATTCTCGCGTGTATCGAGACCCAGAAATCTATATATATACACGCCCAAGACAAAAAGTTGTTGTTTACAGAAATGTATTGCAGTTGATTTCATTAATTTGAATTGCTTAAGCAGTGTTTGCATTGTTCAACTTTGCGTTCAACTCAACGCAGGGTTGCACGGAAAAAAGTTGAATGGCTAAAAATATCAAAATATAGGAAAATTTCAAAATGTTCGCCATAAAAACTTTAGGTAGAACGGCCTTTCAACTAATCGCTTTCAACAAAGTTGGTCGCCAGCCAACATTTAGCCATTCAACTTTTTTTTTTTTCGTGCAACCCTGCGCTGCAAACAAACTTTTACCAATTTAATATGTATTTGGTGAAATTATTTGTTTCCTTCTCTGTTAAATTTAAAATAATTGCGATAAAACAAACATCACGAGGGCAAAGCTGCGGGCAAAAGCTAGTAGATTATACTAAAAAAATTTAACCACAATATATTTAGTCAAAAATGAGTTCCTATATAAATGACTCTTATTGAGCCTGCATGCTTGAAACCATTTAGCTATATTCCTATATTCATACATATAGGATAGTTAATCCCGGGATCCCGGCCCATTTTAAATCTCAAAAATCTCGGAGTTCTTGGAAAATAATCCCCGGATTTTCGGGATTTGTAATTTGCACTGATGGCAATAATAGAAGCTTCATTTTCTTAACCGGTATTGACTATATTTATTTTTTGTATTTAATTCATATTTGTTATAAATGTTTGTTATAAATGTCACTGTGCGATAGTAAATTTTACACGCACAAATCAATATATTCGCGAAACCACAGGCCAAATAAAGTAAAATCGTTTTTTTTTTAGTTTTTTACTCTGACGTCAGTAACCCAAAAATTATTTTAAAAATTCAGTGAAATGTGCTTAGAGAAGAAGTATGGGTATCAAACTAAAGAGAAAATTCGGTAGAATTGAATCAGATTCAAATTTTTGGTACATAAGGACTAGTAAATATTGAAAATTTCCTTTTAAAATTGTATCCCGAAAATTTCGCAATATTTGCGTTTGAAGAAAATATATATGTTAAGGACTTATATAAACTCGATAACATCTTCGAATTTCGAATTTTGACCTTCGAACTTTATCAGTTTAAAGAACTACCTTTTCGTCCTTATGAATCCAAAAAATTTTTAATTTTCTAAATTCTAATGAAATTTCCTCTTTCATTTGGTACCCATATATTTATTCTACATTGCATGGAATTTTTGAAACATTTTTTGGAATTAATCACATGTTTGAAATTTCAAATTCCTTTAAAATAAATCCTGACGTCGGAGAGAAAAAATAAAAACGCCACTTTAAATAAAAAAGTAGGTTTCAAACCTATTTATTTATTTATTATTTTATGGTAGGAGAGATAGAAGCAACTTTTTTCGATTTAAGTTGTTGAAAACTAATGAATAGGGCTCGGAATCTCATGCAAATGCATGTTTTTATTGGACATCTTTAAATGGAAATGGTTAAGTTATCTTTACGAGTCATGAAATTTCCTTTCAAATTACATTCAATGCAATTGCATGATTTTGCATATTTTGCAAAAAATACTTTATTTTGTATATTCCTTGCGCATATTTTAGTATATTTTAAAATAAATGCATGTGGTTTTTGCATAGTTTTGGTTTTTTTTTATTTACAACCACTTAAATTTAGTGCGAAATCTCTTGACAAAAAAATTGCCGTTGACGCACTCTCTTCTACCTCTGATAGATCTCAACTGATCAATACTAATATGAGTCCTGGGACATAGGGTCATTTATTGAACTAGCAAAGGTGCGGCTCCACACTGAATGTGTCCCACGTGTGTCACTCGAAGGCCAAGCAGAGGTGGAATCTTACAGGATCGTACCGGATTACCCGATAGTTCTGGGTGTCCCACGACCCACTTAAAACCAAAGCTCTCTTGGGAATGAACAATGAAGATACCTAAAAACTTACTGCAGTATGCACTGGACACTGGCCGTTGGGGTACATGCCGGAAGGAATGGATTGCCCTTACAAAGGCTCTGTCGTGGTTGCGATGACCCTAGCTCAAAAGAGACAGCCGAACACTTCCTTTGCGAGTGTCCAGCCCTCGCAAGGATGAGGCTAAAGAGCCTCTGCATTTCTGCAGAATGCTTTAGAGTGCAGATGTCTCTCTCCTTATGACGTACTGAAATTCATTAAAGCCGCCAAATGGCTGTAGGTTGCACGAGTTGTGGAACCAAAATGGCAAACTTTCTCAAACTATGAAACTGTCAATGTTTCTATTTACACAAGATTGTAACTGACTGTTTGATTGTAAACTATTTTTATATGTAAATACGTATTGTATTTTGAAGTAAATTGTGTTTAGTTATTTTCTGTTAGAATGCATGTTATTACTTAGTTTTGTACCGGCAATAAATTATTAGGAAAATATTTTTAATTGCATATTTTACTTGTTTAAAGCGCATATTTTCTTTTTTTTTAGTGCATGAGATTCCGAGCCCTAGTAATGAATATCTAAATCCCGTGACTAATCCCGGGATTGTGATAACCACAGCTCGAAAATCCCGGGATCGTAAAAAGCGAAAAAAATTAACATCCCTAGTACATATGTATATACTTGTATGTATGTATGTGGGTGCATATGTACATAAATACTCGTACGAAATGTTTAAAAATTACAAAATCTTTTTAATTTTTAATTCACAGCATTTTCACTAAGTCACTCAACTGGGAAGGCAACGAATTGGAAACATATTGGGCAGCCATGAAAACAAAGAAGTAATACGGAAGCTGGTTTATTAAATCTGTAACGAGAATGCAATTGAATGAATTTTGGCTTTGAAACCTTATCTAAAAGGCATGCTGTTGTACATTTATTCAATTAGGACCAACTTAACTTTTTTTAAGAAAATCTTAATTGGACCTTCAATGCCAAGGAATCGCGTGTTATTAAAGTCAACGGTACATTACACAGGCCTTCCATCCTCCAATAACAATGTTATTTTTTTTAATATCTAGGTATGTTAAATTGAAACCAGAGACTGTAACAGTTACAACTTTTATTTAAAAAAATTCGCTCTTTAACAGTTATTTTTTTTTCTTTTATTTAATTACTCCTTAAATAACAGTCATTTCTGATTTTTATTTTATAAATTCAAAATATTAATTCTTTTTCATTTTTATCTATATAAATAGTCTGCAAATAACAGTTATTTTTGCTTTTTAAACTAAATGTCTTTGATAACAGTTATTGAAAACTTTTAATTATAAGAGTCATAAATAAAAAGCAGTCAAAAAGTTACTTTTAAAAGTCATCAATATAAATCAGTCACTGACTTTTTTTTAAGTCATGCGTGTTTTTTTATTTTTTCATTGGTGACATCATGGTGAAATTATAAGCAGGTGTGGTAATAAAACAGCTTGCTCGCTTAATTTTCGTTATTTTCTTGACATTCGGTATCTTATAAAAGATTTTGGAGGCAAATTTTAAAATAAGATAGTGTCAAATCTTGTTTCTCGCTCTTATTACTACATCTGGTATAATTTCCCCAAGGGGGACATGTATATTTTAGAATTAAGCAATTTCCATGAAAACCCAAAAATTAATGAATTCAGAATTTAATTTTTACTTAAAAACCAACAGTATTAGTTAAAAATACCGATAAATGCACCAAGTAAATCAGAAATACTTATGTTATTTCAAAGTTACCGCTAATAAAATTGATAGAAGTAATTTTCTTAAGGCTGGTTTTCATTAGGGAAAAATTACTGACATCAAAAACTGTCTTCATCTGCCAGCTATTCATTTGGTGGAGTTTCCATTACATTTTATGACCAAATGTCGATACCGCAATGCATGTCAAAGACTGTCGTCAAATTTCGGTGTCAGATGATTGACATCCCGTTTTCATTACTGATGTCAAATGTGGAGTTAAATTTTTACAAAAAGTGTAGAATACCGACCTTTTAGCTATAGACAAACCAAAAATGTAACTGGATAGAACTCTTCATGCTGATTTTAACCTTACCAAAATTTTTTAGCACATGTAAAAAATTAAGAAGATATAGGAGGTTACGTTAAATTTTTCGATATTTTAAAATATTAATATCTTATGAACTACGTAACCGATGAAACAACTAATGATTTCAGAATAAAGGCGATTAATAATAATAATAATATAAAAGATTACACATATGTTAGTGTTTGGCCGAGCTTCTCCTCCGACATGTGAGGTGCGGAGGGACCTACAGTTTTACGCCGACTCCGAACGGCGATTATATTTTTATGAGAAGCTGTTTTTCATGGCAGAAATACACTCGGAGGTTTGCTGTTGGCTGCCGAGGGACGACCGCTGTTAAGAAAAAACCTTTTTTCTATATTTTTTTGCGATGTTGCTTTGACCAGGGTTTGAACCCAGGTGCTGCGGAATGGAAGCGCGCACTGCTTACCACTGCACCACAGCGGCCGACGATTAGTTTATCTTTAAGTTGATGATAATTTTTATAATATTTTATATTTTTAAGTCAACAACAAAAACAAAAAATTAAATTTTTTCATAAAATTACATTTTTTGAAGAAAATTGTACAATTAATGCTACAGGAATTTGTATTATTTAGAAAGTACAAGTTATTACCTAATATAAAAGGATTTTTTATAAGGCAAAATTTAACGAAAGTAGTAGTAAATGGCGTTTACCTAAAATTTGTTTTAAAACGTCGAAAAAAAGGTATTAAAATTACCTTTGAATTGGCATCAATACTTTTCTAATCTGTCAAGTAGTTTCCGAGGTACTAAACATATAAAATAATATGACAGTTGAAGTTTAACCTGTGAAATTTCTTTGTTTTTTTGCTTGTCCCAAATAATTGGTATGCTTGAAATCAGCGTGAAAAGTTCTATAGATCTGCATTTTTTTTTTTAGCTAAGCGATCGGTATTGTAGCTAGAATCAGCTGTTCGCATGGCAAACGAAATCAAAATTGCCAACATGTTGGTAAATACATTTTAGTTGTCAAATGCTGCCCCATCCGCGACGAGGGCCGTTTTCACTTGGCATGTTGATATATGACAACAAATCGTCGCCTGGGTAAAAGATTGTCGTAAGCGTCATACGTACGTGCGTAACATACGACAATCTTTTACACGGCGACGAAATGCAAATGACACCAGATGACAACCCGTTTTCATTATTTTGACAACATTTGACATCAAATATGACCTAATGAAACCCAGGCGTTAGCGTTAACGCGCATTCCAACAAGCCTAATGGAAGGTATTTCGGAAAAAGTTAAATTGTTTATAAAAAAAAAACNACGGCGACGAAATGCAAATGACACCAGATGACAACCCGTTTTCATTATTTTGACAACATTTGACATCAAATATGACCTAATGAAACCCAGGCGTTAGCGTTAACGCGCATTCCAACAAGCCTAATGGAAGGTATTTCGGAAAAAGTTAAATTGTTTATAAAAAAAAAACAGTTATTTTTAATAAGTGTAAACATGTAGCATATGGTGAAAGTCGGAAAAGTTTATTCGGTATAGTGCAAGTTTCAAGCTGCTTTAAAACCCCGTTAAATTTTAACTTTTTTATTTGATGGCATATAAAAGAAAATTGTCGAAAATAGTTTTGTATGGAAAAACGCGAAACATCTTCAACAAAAAAAAAAATAATAATAATATTTGTGAGCTACCTGCAAATGTTTTCTTATGTTGGCTGTAGTCTGTCCCTTCACCTGAACATATGAAAAGAAATTGTAAATAATCGGCGAAAAAAGGCCGATGCCGATGCCGATGCTCAATTTTGTGCCGATGCTAGCCGATGCCGATGCCAATGCCGATTAATCGGTCGGACTCTAAATATATTCACCATAATTTTTAACCCACATTAAAAAAAAAACACCTTAATTAATACTTACAGCCAATTTCAAATTTCATATGGAAATTGACAAGATATAAAAAATAATTTTCCTCTTAAATTGCTGGTGAAACGGGCTTTTACATGCATACATACCGTTACCTTAATTCACAAAGGTCCTAACGATCACGGGAATTTCGGGACATCGTTCATACAATCCCGGGGTCGCGAGATTAGTACCGGGATTTAGATATTCATTATTTTCCAACAAAGTAACATGAAAAAATTGCATCAATATAGTTTGAGAAGCTGTCCTACCATATAATAAATAATAAATAAATGGGTTTGAAATCTACTTTATTATTTAAGGTGTAAAATATTTCATTAGTAACAAAACAAAATACAGTAATTAAATTTATACGCATTTAACAATACTTTAGCCTGTACATATCTGATAAAGTAACTTAAGGCATGTCGAAAAAAGCTCGATGCAAAAAAAGCTTAAGTCAACATATGTAAAAAATTATAAAAAATCAACGTTACTTTAGTTACTTGAAACTTAAAATATTGCGTAGCTAAAATTTTTCTAAAAATTCTGAGTAAACATTTTTGTAAACATATGTAGTGTGTGGCTGAAAGAACTTCATAATACGAGTGGCAGAAATAAAAGAAACGCCTTATTTCAACCAGTTCAGTCTATATTTCTTTTCTTTATTATTTAATTCTTTTATAAAAGTCTACCTCATTTTATATATAATTAACTGCATTTAAATGCGCATTTCAAAATTTGTACAAAAATTGTAAAAATGTAAAAAAATTGCCAAAATTTCTAACTTTTTACTCAGAATTTTTAGAAACATTTTAGGTACACAGTTTTATAGCCCATTAAATTAAAGTAGGGTAAAATGAAGTTTCATGCAGTTACAAAATACCATTGATTTTTGGGAATCTTTTAAACGATGCTGGGCATTTTCTTCCTTATAAACAAAATGTCGAACATACTTTGTGTGGAAGAAAATGCGTTACAACGCCAGCAAAAAAATTATAAAAAGCAACGTTACTTTAGTTACTTGAAGCTTATAAAATTGCGTAGCTAAAATTTTTCTAAAAATTCTGAGTAAAAATTTTGAAACAAGACAATTTCAAAACACGTCAAGCAATTGATATATTCACGACACTAAGGTCCAAATATAATAAAACTGTGTTTTTAATTTTAGAAATTTTTTTTTTTAGAACTTTATAATTTCAAAGATAAGATAGATTCTAAAAAATTATTTAAAAAGTTCGGTGCAACGTAGAATAAAAATGGGTACCAAATGAAAGAGAAAATTCTGTAGGATTTAAAAAAACTAAAATTTTTTTTTGGGTTCAAAAGAACGAAAAGGTATTGAAATGCCCTTTAATCAAATTTATTTTTTAAGCTAATAAACTTAGAAGGGCTATATTCGAGGACGTTGTCCAGTTTATATTAGTCCTTAACATATAATTTTTTCCAAATAAATATTGCAAAATTTCAAGGATATTCAAGGATACAATTTTTAAGGACATTTTCAATATGCTCCTAAAAGTTTAATCTGTTCTTTCTCTACAGAATTTTCTCTTTAATTTGATACCCATGGCTTCGCGAATATATTGATTTTTTTTTTTGTGTGCAAAATTGCCTGTCGCACGGTTTTATGTGTACACCCTGCAGTACGGGGGAGTGACTACAGGATTGCTGAATCAGTAGCTACCCAATAAACACCGTCAATTACCGACCGACTACTTGCATTGTATTTCATCGATTAATTTTACAAGGCAATGTCCTAGGCGGTAGTCACCATCGGCTCTCTCTGCTCTACCGGGAGTTACTAAAGTAGTCACAGACGTGATTTATGGGCGCCCTCTGTCGTAGTTTTTCGATGCAGTAGCGGTTCAAAAGTAGCGATTGACTCCAGCGGTACTGGAGGGTATATAAAAAAATATTAAATATTAA